GCATCCGATTCAACCAGGAAGAAATCCAGTTCAAACTCTCCGATTGCAGCCTCGCCAGCTCTTCCCGGGAGCGTCCACATTGAAGAGAGGATTGCTTCGAAAAATCTAGTGCACAGGTTCTTCTCTGAGATTCCTTTCTCCTTTTAGATTGAGATCCGTGTTTGTAGCTTTTATTTGGATGAAAAATCATGGCACGAGATTGGAGGAGCAGCGGCCGCAACCAGGGATGAATCAGCCCGCTGGAGGTCGAATTTTTTCCTCCCGGCGGGCTTCCCAGGTTGGAAAAAAGTTCATAGAAGCCAATCAACGCTTGCTGTTTTTTGGAGTTTTTCTGAGAGCTTTGGTTTTCTCCAATTTTCCGCAGGATCCGTTTCACAAGATTACTTGCAGTACATGCTATGGCAGCTTCCAACAAACATCACGGGTTGGATTTGCAGGGCTTTGATAACTTCAAGCCTTTTGCAAGTAAGTTTTTCTCGCACCGTACATTTAGTATAGTCGAATCTCACTTTCAGTTGTAAAGGCTGTAGGATTGAGCACAGAACCTGGATCAGCTGCTGCAGCGTCAGCAGCTATAAAGTGATCCATCGCAAAACTTCAAAAGAAAATAATGAAAAGGAGAGAAACCATGGTTAAAGTTTTGTGTTCCTTGCAGATGGGTTACCAAAGACGGGCTTGGAGCTGTAGGCCGGCTTTTTATTGGTTTGATCTTCTTTTTCCTCTTTTTCCTCATCTTTCATGTATTTTCAGGTGGTCGATTTGGAGGTGTCTTTGACGAGGATCCAAAACAGTGGCGTTTGTATGCGGAAGTTATTGGAAGTTTTGGCGGGTTAGCGCTGTTCATATTGTTTGAATGTTTTCATTCGTTTTGTTTTCCCTTCTCTTTGCAGTCTATTTGAGCTCGCAACTCCTCTTGCTCCCGACTATTTCCTGCTGCTCGCTTCTTTGGGACACTTAACTAAGGTAAGCGTCTAATTCATGCATAAATCGATCTAGATTTGCAAATGCACTTTTATGTTTTCAAGGCTGTTGCAAGAGGACTCAAGGATCCATCTTTCCGAGTGATCCAAAACCACTTTGCAATCTCGGAAAATGTTGGAGATGTGGCTGCTAAGGTTGTGATTTATTCATGTTAGCCAATTTTTCTAAACTTGATATTCTTTCCAGGAAGAAGTATGGGAAGTCGCTGGCCAGCTTATTGGCCTTTCACTTGGTGTCGTGCTTCTTGTAAGTCTAGAATCCATTGGATGTGGATTTACAAACGATTTATTTTGCAATAGTCGACACCCGTTGTTGCAACTTCGTATTCCCAGCTCGCACTATCCTGGATGATAATTCGCTCGTTTCATTTATGGCTTCGATACCAAACACTTGCAGCTCTCGAACTCCCAACAGTAAGTCCCATTCAATTAAGCTTTCAGTGACACTAAGTTGCCCGGAAAACGTTTAGATGAACTTCAAGCGGCTAAATGTGTTGATAATGGAGCATATTCAAGGCCGCCCGCTATCAGGTAAATCTGACAATCTTTTCCTTTACCCTTCATATTCTTTGAAATAAACCAGGAGTTGGCGAGTGTAATAAGAAGGAAAATCTGATACTACCTTATACAATGCTAATGCCACAAATTCGACTGGGCTGTTCCTTAAGAGAAGTCATTACGCTTGGCAAAACTCCACTAGAGGTGAGAAACTTCCGGTTTTCTTGTGTCTCTTTTATTTGAGCTGTAAAGCTATTTTCTCAGATAGAAGAAGCATTCGAGCTTTACAACTCAGAGAAATATGTTCTCATTGTGTTCTCCAAGTCCGACATGGGAATCCTTCTCAAGGTATTGTCACAATTCCTGTCCTCTTGTTCCTGTAATATAAAATTTCGTGTTTGTCAGGATGGATGCGAGAACACCACACTCTTAAGAAGCATCTATCAAGCTCATGTTCTCTTCCACTCCAAAAGCTTTGACACCTTCACTTTGAAGCAGAGCCTGACCAGCATGCAAAAGAGTTTTGCCTCGTTTCTCGACGAGCTCGTAGCTGCCGGATGGAATCCCAGCAAGCTAGTCGTCAAGGTTCCAAGTTTTTCGCCGACTTACACCCTCAAAGCAAACGTGGAAGAGAGACAACAATGAGACAAGGCTGGTATTTATCTTTTCTCTCGAGATCGAGCTCAATGAGCTCAAGCGAAGCATCTCATCACACTGGCGCCCCGGAAGTTTTGAGCATCGACACCAAAATCTTTCGCGGGGTGTTCGGAGCAGCGGCATGTTTCTTGTGGAGCACCGAGTGATTGTTCAGCACAACAATGTCCCCGGCTTGCCACTCAACTGAGACTTGTTCTTCGTCCATGATCTTTAGAGCCGCTTCGACTGCTTTGGCTGGCAGCTTGCTTCCATCGCTAAACTCGAAATACTGGAACTGGGGAAACCACGGTTTGGCCGATCCAATACTGTTAAACCACACCTTGTTGTTGCCGTGAACACCACTTTCGAGCTCTCTAATCCCTTTCCTCGTTCCTTTGCTCAGGATCTCTTTGACTCCTCCATCGTCGAGCCAGAGGAGCGTTCTCGATGAAATTTGCGCTCTAGAATTCGAAACATCATTGTAGAAACAGTTGGGATTTGCACTTACTTGGCTTCGGCCTCAGCTCTATCGTTGGTTTCGTAGACTCTTTTCCATGACTCCTCGCTACGTAAGTTGTAGTAAACGAGACCTTTGTTCTCGAGATCTTCCGTGAACTCCGGAAACTCTTTCTTGATCCTATTGTATATGGCTTTGCCTTGGACGATCCCGGTGGCACCGCCGGCGCTTGGCGGTGGAGCAACCTCGCAGAAAAACACGACCAAGTCGGGATAATCCGCAAGCTGTGGCAAAGAAACAAGAAACAAGAAGTCTTAGAATGAAAAATGGGGAAAACCTTACGTAGCTCATTTCATTGTGAAATCCAAGCTCGGTTTCAGCGTCGAGGCCATTGTTTGTGTAGACAGGCCCGACAATGTGCTTCCTCCTCGCAGCTCCAGCTCTGTAACCCATGCTCTCATATCCAAACGCTTCCACCACTCGAGCAAATTCCTCCGCATTTGACACGCCGAATCCCCGGAACAAAATTGCGCCAGGGCTCCCAAAGAGTTGACCTTCCAGCCACAGTTTTTGCTTCTGGATCCCAATTGCGAGATCATTGCCGAAGTCTCCACTGCAAGCTCCTGCACAAGCGCCCAAACACGGAGCATACAGATCGAGAAGGGATTGCAGGAACATACCAGGCGTAATTACAAGAGGGAAGGCGTCCGTGTTCTTGGGATTGAGAAGCTCCGCCATTGCCATGGCTAACCCACACGTTTTCAATGTTTTCGGTCACCTTTATACATAAAGAAAACAAAATCATACTTTCCTCTTTTTACTGCATGATTAGATCGGAGTATCTTGGAAAACGCTTGAAGAAATACGACCTCCTCTTCTTCCCCGGCTCGTCGTATTTAGCTATGCGTCCTGGAACTTGAAAAAAAAAGAGAGTAACGTGTAGGGCTAGAACTTAGTCGCTGTCCATCACAGTAGGCAGCCTGTGAGCGATGGTGATAGAACTTTGTGGCGATGGTGGATGGATCATTCCATCGGTAGCACTGTCCACGGATGCGGTGGCCTCGTCTGGGTGCCAAAACACGGCTTTGTTTTAGCATCACTCGTCCAAGGCAAAACTGTCCCACGCTCCAATTCTCACCGTTCTCCCACACATCTCACATGTTTTCCACATTACCTTTTCTTCCTGCACGAAGTTCTAACAACGTGACCTTTTAGGAAATAGAAGATAGATAATCCGACACTAAAGAACAGCACATCTATTGAAAACAGCATGTTTTTCACATTACCTTGTGAGTCCAGCTTCTTCCTGCACGAGGATGTCTCCTAACAACACGGCCTTTTAGGAAATAGAAGAATGACAGAACTTATCTCCCAGATTTCTGGATCTGATTACTGTCCGAGGGGGTCGAGATTATAGCGGATTGTGCCTTCTAATAGGGATGGATTCTCGTTCGCTGCTATTGACTCGGCAAAGTGATGTATGACTGCAGCTTTTTGAATACCTTGAAGTCTACTGGCTGATGAAAGTTGTTCACCTGATCTAGCGAGATTTTTGTTTGTTCTTTTTCTCTAGTTGTAGGGTCTTTTTCCATGGGTGGGAGAAGTGTAAACAAAACTCTAGGGCCAAAAGAAGTGGTCAGAGGTATCTTCAGCACCACACAAGTCCCTAAGTTCGTCTCTCATCGCCAATGACCTAATCACAACGGGAAGCCTGCTCGAACTTTCCCACTTATCGTTAAAAAAAATACTCGTAGGCGGCTGATGCTCTATTTTCCTGTGCAACCTAGCAAATCTTCGGGCTCCAAAGTCCTCTTTCCTCAGATTCCCAGTTCTTGCGTACAGAGTAACGCTGTCTTCACCCTTGTCCGCTACCTGCGTGTCGTCTCCTTCTGCTGTCCAGAACTGTGATCCCTGTTCGTCCCCTGGCCGTGCAAAGAATCTGTGTTTAACCCTGGACGCAAGGAGATCATGCACAGATAGCACAAACTTGGGAAGACCAGCAAACGAGGCAATCCACCACACCCAATGCAGCTGGTATAGGATAGCTCTCTTGTACGATGCAAAAGCGATATCGCTAGATTCTTGACAGAAGCCAGCAGCAACGAGGAAGAAACGCGACCAGGAAAGCACTCGCAGCGCTCAAAGCTAGCAGATAGACAGACAGCCTTGAACTGCTCGTCGGGCGGGATCTTGCAAAGATACTCACAAGCCAGGAGCGTGGCACTCGGATTTCGGCGTCGAATCTCCAGCTCTACCGATGATTCGCGAATCTTAATCGTCAGGGCGTACTAGAGAACATTCTATAAAATTATTTAGTAGATCCGAATATGCGCGTCACGAGCGACGAAGGAGACCTTGACTGGCGAGAAAGTTTTTTCTTCGGAGGCAAGTTACAAAATGCTATATAATGCCGTTTCCTAGGGCTTTGTATCGCCACGACCGGCCTCTTTCTTCTCCCTGACGATTTCCCCAGGCGCTGCGGCAACGCATTTTTCTAGCGCCGACATCGCTCCATCCAAATCGGCAGCGATGATCGTCGGTAAGGCGCGAGAGCCAGCGCGTGAATCGATTACGCGCTTTTGTGCTCGCTGCTCTTGGATTTTCTAGGTTTCCTCTGATCGAAATATCGATGTTTCGCTGCAGCGGAGAGCTTTCTCCACCGATTCGACGACGAAATCCGCTTTGGGAGCTGCGTGGGAACGATCGCCATCGCCGCGATCTTCATTCTCTCCTGGCTTGTGAGTTTCTTCTTGTCTACAAAGTCCCGGCCGGCTAGCAAGCTCACCACCGCATTCCCGTTCAAGATTTTCCTCTTTTGCTGCCTTTATCTGCTGGTTTTGAGCGCTGCCAGTGCTTGCTGGGTCGCATTTCTTCATCGAGCACGGAGCGTGCTGTGGCTTGCGCAGGAGTCACTGCTAGCTGCTGCCTGGCTTGTTGCATCGTTAGCATTGGTAGCATCGCGCAAGAGAGGAGAGGAAAAAATCCCAGCGGCATTGAGGGTGTGGTGGATTGCCTCGTTCTGTGCTGACCTTCCTGAGTTCGTGCTGTGTGTGGATGATCTTGTCGCGTCCAAGTTTGAGCACAAGTCCTGCAATACATATTCAAGCTTGGCCTGGATTCCTGCTAGCTTTGTTCTGCTAGTTGCATCCGCGAGGGGAAGAACAGGGATCAAAGTTATGAGCGGCAGTCTTGGCGAGCCTCTTTTAGTAGACGACACGCGGCCTGAAGACAACGTTACCCCGTACACCACAGCGGGGAATCTAAGCCTTCTATTCATATCGTGGGTCAGTCCTGTACTGGCTCTCGGGGCGAAGAGGACTTTGGAGCCTGAGGATTTGCCACAGGTAGCGCAAGAATATCAAGCATCTACAGCCTACGAGTTTTTCCAGGACAAATGGAAAACATCAAAGCAGGACTCCGAAAAACCGTCCAGCCTGACAAGGACGCTAGTGGTATGTTACTGGAAGGAGGCAGTGGCGGTTGGATTCCTGGTGATAGTGAATTCGCTCGCGTCATACGTGGGACCATACTTGATCGACGACTTCGTGAGCTACTTGAGCGGGGTTTACCGGTTTCCTCACGAAGGCTTGATCCTGGTGACGGTGTTCCTCGTCACCAAGTTTCTGGAGAACTTCTGTCAAAGGCATTGGTTTCTCAAGATCCAGTTCCTGGCGATAAAGGCCCGGGCGACGCTCACAACGTGTGTCTACAGGAAAGGCTTGCGACTTTCTAATGTGTCGCGGCAGAAATACACCAGCGGAGACATTGTCAACCATATGGCCGTGGATATCCAGAGGGTTCTCGACTTCTCGTGGTATATGCACGATATCTGGATGATACCGCTTCAGGTGGTGCTGGCACTTCTTATTCTATACCAGAAAGTCGGGGTTGCTGCGATTGCTACCTTGGTTGCGACTCTGGCGTCGGTGGCTATAAACACGCCGTTTAGCTCCTTGCAAGACAAGTACCAGGACAAGATCATGGAGGCCAAGGACGCCCGAATGCGAGCAACGACGGAGTCCTTAAAGAGCATGAGGATACTTAAGCTGCAAGCTTGGGAGAAGGCTTACCTGCAGAAGCTGGAAGCCTTGAGAAGTGTGGAGTATGGCTGGCTGAAGAAATCGTTTTTGACGCAGGCAGCTATCACTTTCCTTTTCTGGACAAGTCCCATGCTCATTGGGGTGGTCACCTTTGGTACTTGTGTGGTGCTGAAGGTACCTCTGACCACTGGGAAAGTTCTTTCAGCGGTGGCCACGTTTAGAGTTTTACAGGAGCCGCTCACAAGTCTGCCAGACTTCATTTCAACTCTGTCTCAAACAAGAATTTCGCTGGATCGGCTGAGTAAGTTTCTTCACGAGCCAGAGCTTCAGGTGGATGCTGTTTCTCGGACAAATGACAAAGATTCCACGGTAGTTCTGGTGGAAGCAGCAGACTTCAGCTGGGATGAATCTCCCGAGAAACTCTCGTTGTCTGGAGTTAATCTGGATGTCAAGAAAGGGATGACAGTTGCTGTTTGCGGAAAGGTTGGTTCCGGGAAATCAAGCTTGCTCTCGTGCCTGCTGGGAGAAATCCCAAGGCTATCTGGCAAGGTGCGCATTTTTGTATTCTACCGTTCTCTGGTTCTTGCCTTACATCTGCTTGTACAGGTGCAAGTAACTGGAAGAACATCGTACGTGGGTCAAACTGCCTGGATACAAAGTGGAAAGATCGAGGACAATGTCCTTTTTGGCTCGCCGATGGACAGAAGTAAATACGATCGCGTGTTGGACATGTGTCAACTCAAAAGAGATCTGGAAATTCTTCCATTTGGAGATCAGACAGAAATAGGCGAGAGGGGCATCAACTTGAGCGGCGGCCAGAAGCAAAGGATACAACTTGCTCGTGCACTGTATCAGGATGCTGATATCTATCTACTTGACGATCCTTTCAGTGCCGTGGACGTGGAAACTGGTACTCAAATATTCAAGGTAAGCGCATGTCTCCGTTTGTCTCTGTGATCTCACTCATAAATCTTTGCAGGAATGTGTTCTTAACGCACTGGCATCAAAGACTGTCATTTTAGTGACACACCAAGTAGAGTTTTTACCTGTGGCTGACCTTATTTTGGTAAGTATACGTTTAAGTGATGAAGCCGACTATGCTAATGTGATTTGGAAATACCAGGTTCTAAACGATGGTCGTATAACGCAGTCAGGAACATACACTCAGCTTTTACAAGCGAAAACTGACTTCAGTGTGCTTGTTGGAGCACACAACAAGGCTATGGAAGTCATGAATCAGACTGACAAGATCTTAGATAGCGTAGACAAGACCGTGGAAGGTATCCTGGATAATGAAGAAAAGAAAGAAGTGCAGAAGTCAGACGAGCAGGAAGCGCAGGCAAAGGCCGTAAAGGCAGAACAATTGGTACAGGAAGAAGAACGCGAGAAAGGCAGTGTTGGTCTGCAAGTTTACTGGAACTACTGCACGGCGGTGTACAAGGGCGGCTTGATTCCATGCATATTAACGACACAGCTGCTGTTTCAACTCTTTCAAATCGCGTCAAACTGGTGGATGGCTCGCGAAACTCCAGCGACGGCTGTAGCTCCAGAGTTTGATCCTGTTCGGTTGATCATCGGGTATGGAGGATTTTCTTTTGGAGCATCGCTGTTCGTGCTTCTCAGGGTGCTGCTTCTCAATGTCATCGGCCTCGCGACGGCTCAGAAGTTCTTCTTTGACATGCTACATTGCATTTTTCATTCGCCAATGTCGTTTTTTGATTCTACTCCAACTGGTAGAATTCTCAGTCGGGTATGTATGTCACGTGTTTCAAGTTTCGAACCAGCTTATGCTTTTTCTTCTCAGGCCTCTACAGACCAAAGTGCTCTCGACTTAAATGTGCCTTACAGGCTTGGGGGCGTAGCGTTCTCAGGCATACAGCTCTTATGCATCGCTGGAGTTATGTCTCAAGCAGTTTGGCAAGTCTTAATCGCTTTTGCTCCTGTGTTTGTTATCTGTGTCTTACTCCAGGTAAGCCACCAATCTCTTTCAATCGATACGGTTGAATAATGAGAGATGAATTTAATTTTGCAGAGATATTACATCTCGTCCGGCAGGGAGCTTTCCAGGCTTCAAGGCATCCAAAAGGCTCCGATCATTCACCACTTTGCGGAATCTATTGCAGGAGCTCCGACAGTAAGAGGCTTTGGCCAGGAAGAGCGTTTCATGCACAGGAATATGTTTCTAATCGACACGTCTGCTCGAGCCTATTTCTACTCGGCTGCAGCGATGGAGTGGGCCTCTCTGAGGCTAGAACTCCTCACCAACATTGTCTTTGCATTCTGTTTGCTTCTACTCATCTATCTCCCTCCTGGGACCATCCCACCAAGTAAGTCTTGCTTTTTTCTTTTTCTCTACTTCAACAATAGCTGACTCTTTCGTGTTTTTCTTCACAGGTTTGGCAGGTTTGGCTGTGACATATGGGTTGAATCTGAATGCGATCCAGTCGTGGTTTGTTTGGAACTTATGCAACGTGGAGCGGACGATAGTTTCTGTTGAACGGATACAGCAGTACTCTCGCATTCCCAGCGAGGCACCATGGGAGATTGAAGAGTCCAAACCTCCGGAAAGCTGGCCTGCCACAGGAAACGTAGAGCTGGTGGACCTCAAGGTAGGAAATTCTAAAACTTCTTTGATCTTAACTAAGGATTTTCAACGTGACACAGGTCCGCTATAACTCCAACTCACCGCTGGTGTTGCACGGCATAAGCTGTGTATTTCCTGGAGGCAAGAAGGTTGGAGTCGTCGGGCGGACTGGCAGTGGAAAATCCACGCTCATCCAGGCCATATTCCGCCTTGTGGAGCCAGCTGGTGGAAAGATCGTTATCGACGGCGTGGACGTAACGAAGATCGGGTTGCATGACCTCCGATCCAAGCTCAGCATCATTCCACAGGATCCAACGCTGTTCGAAGGCACCATCCGCTATAATCTCGACCCCCTGGGACAGTTTTCGGATCCAGAAATCTGGGAGGTAAGTTTCTTAAAACTAGTTATTCTTGTATGTATTAAGAGCAGCGCTTCCACAGGCCTTGGATAACTGCCAACTCGGAGACCTCGTGCGCTGCAAGGAAGAAAAGCTGGACTCACTGGGTAAGCAATGAATGTGAAGAAGTTTTCTTCCCTTTCTTATCACGTTGTGTGTGCAGTGTCTGAGAATGGTGAGAACTGGAGCGTGGGACAGAGACAATTGTTTTGTCTTGGACGGGTGATGCTAAAACAAGCCCGTGTTTTGGTACTCGACGAGGCCACCGCATCCGTGGACAGTGCTACTGATGGAGTGATCCAATCCACCATTGCCACGAAGTTCCAGGGATGCACTGTTATCACCATTGCCCACAGGCTGCCTACTGTAGTGGGCAGCGACTACGTTCTAGTCCTGAACGATGGTACGTGTTCTTTGTTTTCGTTTTTGTTTGGCATTTGCATAACAATCTTTCTTGGTAGGACGCATCGCTGAATACGACGAGCCGGGTAAGCTTTTGGAGAAAAGCAGCTCGCATTTCTTCAAGCTTGTGGCCGAGTATTCCAAGAGATCTTTTGGATCGTCAACTTAAATCTATAAGAAGTTCTAAACTTAAAGCTCATCTAGAAACGTGCATCATAATGAGTGTGGAGCAGCGCATATGAGGTCTGAAAGAGTCCAAACAGTGGCAGCAATGCAATGAGAAGAGATCCAACTTTTAATGGCTGCGTACAAGGGAGGCTCAAGTGGGGCATTGAGGTCTTACCTTGGCTGCATTACACCCCTAAGGAGACAAGTGCTTTTGGCTTTCACCCTATGTGTTCAAGCCTGAGCTCAAGTTTGAAATGGATTGAGTCTAAGTTTGAGATGGTGTGCAAGAGGAAGAGCCAACATCAAATTACTCCAACATAGAGTGTAGAGCTGAGCGCTTAAGATCTGACCTCAGCTGCCCTCCCCTATTATATTTCTACATACTTGCACCTCCACCTCAAGCCCGAGACAATCCATGAGAGAGTTTGAAGTTAAACTCCGAGGACTTAATTTTTGTTCTTTAAATATAAATAAAAAACCAGAAATATCTAAAAGGGCACCAACTTTTTTCAACTTAATCTCACATATACAGCTATGGAAGACAATCTGGAGCTCTTGCTGTATGGGCTTGCAGAAAATTCTGCCCAGCAACTATGGCTGCCACAGGCCTACGATGGTGCTCAGTTAAAACCTAACCTAAATAATGACAATTTCTTTATATATATATATTTCAGTTCTATATGTAAGGATGGAATGAATTAATATGTGGAGGAAATTTTGAGTTTATAAGGTGAAGCATGGTTTGATAAGTGTAAAGTTCAAGTATTGGTGATTAGAACTGTATAAAGAGTGGACCTCCTGTTGTGAGCTAAAAACTTATTGCCAAGAACACACCACTCTTGCCTCATAAATTTTATTGGACACTGTGAACAAGAAAAGCTCCTGATCTTTCAATTGGAAACAAAAAATTTCATTATGCAATAAAAGGGCAACTAGAAAAGTGCCCTTCAAAGGATAACCTTTAAAAACTATGCTCTTCAGAAAAAATCCTGAGCCACCTAGCAAAAATTGGAGTTTGTTCTCTATATATAAAATGTGAACGAGTTTGCTCTTGAGATATAGTAACTTTTTCTCCTTTCTCTTAGAGTTCTCTTTCTTGGTTGCTATTTATTACACAGGAATCTTGCAACTTTACTGCTCACTCAAAATTCCATGTGCTTAATCACTCAAGCACAAGTACAACATGCTCATTGAGCTTAGCCCATTCTTGATTTGGTTTAACAAGTATGGGCATGTGGTTATCTCTAAGCTCCATTGGATGGTGAAGCAAAAGGGAGAGGATCTACAAGCTTCAAATTTGCTATTGCCTACAAAGAAACTTGTGCCAATCTCAAAACCAGCCAATGCAAATGAAATTTATATTTATATAAAATTAAAACGCAAGAAATTAAGAAAATTTATAAATTATAAATTTTTTATTATCTATAAAGACAATAATAAAGTCTACTATGCCATGTACTATTTTAGCATAATAGGATTTTGGTAGCTATTAAATCTTGTCAATGCCCACCATTTTTTTCTTGAAACCTAAATGTGTGAGCTGTTCTCTCTTGTATATAAGCTAGGGTCTTTAAGTTAATTGAATATACACATTTCTATATTCCATGCACTCATATTGGGGAAGGTGAGGGAAAATTTTAATTGTCCCTGAAAAGTGCTTGGTTTTATGTTTTTTTTTTAACTCTAGTTTTTGCATCATTTAGATCTTTTTTATTTTTGTAATTTTTTCCATTTCTTCTCTTTTTTTTTTCTTTTCATTCATTTGTAACAACCTCCTCCTCCTTTGAGTCAAAGGAGGAGGCTATTACAAACGAATGAAAAGAAAAAAATTAAACATTTGCTTAAAGGTGCAATTCCTCTTGTTAAGTCAAAAGTATGGTGTAGTTCCTTTTGTTCTTGCTGCCAATCCTCATGTTTAATTGTAATTTTTCCATGAAAATCTTGGAAATGATGTACATTAATGGTTTAATCACTTTACAATGATTGCCATATACATATGGGAAACTTGTGCAAATACCAAACATTATCCCTAAAATGATGGCATTGTAATGGTACAATGGCTTGAGTATAGCCACTTGTGCGGACTAGAGCATTCTCCCAAACATCTTTGAATGTGCATTTAGACATGTTAACAATTGTGATGAAATTTTATAACAATTACATCACCTTTGTCAAGGGTTATTTGAGTCAATTATGCAATTTAGTGTTTATTCTTGAAGCCTCTTATTTTATGCAAAACCAAATATGTCAAAGCAGATTAAGTTAAGAATGTCAAGATCTTATAAGACCTGTGCATGCACTTGCCCCAGTTCCTTTAACAACATTTTTCGACTGGCATAAAGTTACAAGATATCACCTCTCCCACTTGTCGCTACACATACTTTAATTCCACTTCTTGTAGGAGATGATCGAATACTAATGTTTAAAGACAAAGATGAGGACATAGTTATGGCCATGATATTTATTATTAGGCATGTGATAAAGTTGGCCACATGTATTGGCATTATCAGTGTTTTCTAGATTAATGTCCTCCATTTCCTAAGTGGAGGCTTTAGTGTAAATAATGTCATGTTAATACTATTGCAATGGAAAGTATTGACATAAAGATTCTTTCGGAAATGAGAAGTTATGCAAGTAGTGGAAGGTTTTTGCATAAATAAGTTAATAACCTCTCTACCTTTCTTTTGGGAGTACCATTAAAGGGTTCATTTGACACTAGTTCATCTAATATTTACTTCTAGATTTATTTTTATAACAAGAGGTCATTTGTTATCTTTTTTGTGTTGGTGGATACAAATTTAAGTTTATCTTGTATTACTCGGCTTGTTGCTATATATTGTCTCAATCTATTGCCACACATCTAGAACTGTGTTGGTGCAATATAACTAGTCTTTATTCTCTATACCAAAGGTGGATATCCTAGATGTGTACCCTTTTCTTCACACTACTAATTTTCTAGATTTTCTGGGGAGATTATACATATGTGTGTGTTTGGGATGAGACAAATTTAGCTGTGCATATCAATGATCTTAAACTTGAGCTTCAATTGTTATGGGTGGTGCTAAGTAAATTTTTTGACTTTATCATTAATATGGATTGATTGTAATGCAATCATGCCAAATATGATTTTGAGGTTTCTCCCTCTTATTTTATTATTCCTCACTTTTATTCCACTTTGGTTTTTTTTTAACCTTTATTTCTATCACTTTTGTCTTTCTATTACTTCTTATTGTGTTTCCTTTTTGCTTTTCTATTTCTATCACTTTTATCTCTCCATTACTATTAACCCCAAATATCCTAAAACCCTTAACCGATTGAAAAATAAGGTGCATTTTTGTTCATGAGCCCTTTTCTTCTATATTTGAACCTTATGGATTGTTTTTCAAGTTATTTTCTTTGGTTGCTTATAATCCACTATGCTTCCCTACAAATTCACACCCTCGTGAATGAAAATTGAGAGCCCCACTCTCTTGACACCCTACCCTCAGGTTAAATCTAAGGGGAGCAAACTAGACCTACCAGATGTCAATTAATATGTGGTGTGATTCCCTTAGCCAATCAATAGAGTCGGACCAAGACCCCTCTGATACCAAATGTAAACTCCTAAATTTGGTCTTCCCAAGAGAAGAGTCTGAGATGGACCCGAGATGGAGTCCGAGATTGTCGCGAATGTGACTTCAGGTATTGGAAGTTACCTGTCGACCAGTCCTTACGGACACTTTTACCTTACTGCCACGATAGCAGGAGGTCGGTATTGCTGAACCCTTTATCAGCCCCTCTTATTCAAGTGTTAGTAAACTGGACTTTGCATCTGTACTTGGCCGGATGAGCATAAGGACGGAATTCTTAAGTGTCTATTCAACCAAGCATACTTGGCTTGGCTTTTTAGTTCTCTTTTGCTATGTCTTGCACTGGTTTGACAAGAACCCTTGTGTATTGAGATTAGTCTTTCAATATCACTAGATGATACCTTACTGTGTTTGCCAAACACCTTCGCTATCATGCCCTTTGTGTTAGTCTCATTTCGGTCCTAAATGCTATTTATGGAAAGTGTCTAGATTTGCTCATTTGGCATATCTATGGAATGTAGAGATTGTTCTAAACACAATGGTGTTCGTCCCGTGTCCAAATTTGCAATCTAGGAACATTCCATATTTAGTAAGTTTTGAGTTTGTCCCAGAGACTAACTCCTGATACTAAGGGAGGCTTG